TATCGGCCGTTAATTTGTTAGAAACGCCACCAGCACAGCCGATTGCAGCGTCCGCAACTATGTACCTTTCTGACTCCCGCGGAACGGATGGCCACTGTTTGCCACGCTCGCTCGTCTTCCCGACGCGAGACGACATTTTCTAATCGCTGCCTCTGCCACACGACAAAATGTCTAACTGCTCGTTTGTTCTTCTGCTGGTAGTTGACTTTGTGTATATATGTATGTGCAGTTTTAAGATGCAATTTGGAGTAATGTACCTTTTCTCTTGCCAATTGTATAATATGTCCGTGTTTGAAATAATTGGTTGTACTGGTGAAACAGATTATTATTATTATTATTATTATTATTATAGATTTAAAGATTAAGATAATTCTTAACAAAACTTAGCAAGATTATTAAAGTTAAAAATTTTCTCAATTTCTAATTAAGTTTATTAGAGTTTGAGAAATTTTCAATCGTATTTTATAACAAAATTTTATATGAGAAACTATATTATTATTATATTTCATTTATGTTGGTGAATGCCGTTCAAATTAAAAAGTAGAAAGTTTCTTCGTTAAACAAGTAATTAACTTAATACCAAAGATCGCTTCCTACTTCCTCTATTACTTATAAAATTTTTGTAGTTTCATATAATTTTAATAAATAATTTAACAAGTGTAAAATCTTATATTTTTATACTTTTATAATATATAATTCTAAAAACTTACCGTTCTATTAATGTGACGGTACGTAACGTTGAAAGATTTAAGTTAGTGAAGTTCAAGGTAGTTTCGATGAAGACGTCAATGCGAATTTTTTTAGAAGCCTTATCCAAGACAATGGAGAGTGAGGTTCCGATAGTCTGGTAACAACGGGACTCGAACAGTAGCGGATTATTCCGCGATTCCAAAGCATGGAACAACGATCTTGGAAACAACTTCAGATGTTCCAATAGATCTCCACTCTATTTGAATGCACTTGATATTGAAATTAAATCAAAGAATCTTGTAAAAGTAAATTCTAATTAATCTTTCCTTTTTTTGTATCGATTCGTTGAAAAAATAAATCTTTTATCCAATGAACTAAAAATAGATTTAATAATCAGAATTATTAAATTTCTTCTAAATAATAAGAATAAAATAAATAATAAGAATAAGAAAAAAGAAATTATATAACCTCATTTTCTTCGACAGTTCCAAATGTTAGTTAATAGAATTAAACTCTGGAGGGCAGTACTGTTCACACACTACTTACACACATATATCAATTTAAAACAAAATTGAACGTAATTATAAATTAAAACAAACATTATGTCTCTAATTTCAAAATTTAACATATAGTTTCAAAATTTAACAAATTTTTTGAAATTTAACAACATAGCTGATTAATATACTTAATTAATATTTAATTCTAACTAAGAATAATTATAGCGTCATTAATGACATTATACTTATATTTTCACAAGTAGATATGTAATCGATTCTTCCAATCAACTTTAGTTACGTGATAAAATGTCAAGGAACGCCATAATCTGAAAAACCGACGCGATGTAGGCTCCCTTCGTTGAAATGATTGGCTCGCGCAAATTTTTCTATGAACATCATCCAAGAAAACGTATTCCAACATTATCCGTTAACGCGGTGTGTCTAGTACACTGGCATTGTATTCCAACGATAATAGATTCACGATCGGAAGATAATCAAACGAACTGTAAAAAGGAGTCAGCCGGTATTCTTCGCACGAAACCGATGTTGATAAGGCACACAGAGTCTAGTGATTCATTTCCCTAATATGTCTACGCGTCGAATGACAATTGGTAGTACCGTTCGCGCTTCAGTTTCCCTCTATTTCAATATCTAATAGAGGTCTCTTGTATCCTAAATCCTAACCCTAATTTCTTAGTGTGTGTTATATAATAATAAATCGTGTTTGTGCTTCAATTAATTCAGACTGATTTAATTATAGAATAATTAAAAATCGTGCAGATAATAAATTCTATATTTAATTTCAAATAATTTCAAAACTTAATTATAATCGTCAAAATTAAAATATTGTTAAATAGAAGGTTAAGTTACATACATTTTCGTTTCTCTTTTTCATTGAATATGATGAATATATTTATTTATTTATAATATGTAGAAAAAGTCTATCAAATTTGTCATTCAATTCAAATGCTATAAATTTATATCTATTTGGAAATTATTGAATAAATCTCATATATGTATATATATGTTATATATAAATAAATATATTAAAATTATATGATGAATTAAATTGATAAATTTTAATAGATAATAATGAAATTGATAAAAATGTTGCAGAAAATACTTATTTATAATAAAATTAAACAAAAATTAAGCAAATATCGAACAAGTTTCTGAGAAAAAACGATAGCAATACGGCTGGCATTCTCCATTCGAGACCTCAGAGAAGTTTGGTTTGTGAAATTCGTTCTCACAGAGAAAGTAGAATTACATCAGCACGCATTCAGCCGTAAAAAGAGGATCGTCGCGGCGACGCAAAATACCGTATCGTTGCTTTTCTTTAGCGTCCTGTATTCGCCGTGGTCATTTACACCTTCTTCGCGTGTTCTTTGCACGCCATAACATTTCCGTGCTCTACGATATCATCTCCTTTCTTCTGCTTGCCTTGCATGTTCTTTGAAGTTCACCCTCTACTTCCTGATCTTAAATACTTGAGGAAGTACCGATCGAATCGATGAAAATTCTTTCTTCTCGTATAATGAATATTTAAAGATAGATACATCTATGGGATAAATCAGTAAGTAAATGATTTAATGTAATCAATTTTTCAATGATTTTTATATTAGCCAAAGATAGAAATTATTGTTGAATCACGTGCAATTTTTATTTAGAAATTGAACTTTGCGCAGGTAGTGATGCGGTCCATCATTAGTCAGACATCCACCAAATTTCTCCGAATATAGATAGAACATCGACATTACGAATATCTTATCTTTGATTTATGAATTAACTATATTAAAGCAATAGCGTGATTTTTTTATTTTTCATTGAATTATTGAATTTGAAATTTTTAATAATTTGATTGTAAAATTAAAAAAAAATTTTACCAATGTATAGATAGTAAATATGCGAATAAGATTAGAATGGAAATAATTTTTCTTTTTTTTTATATATCTTATATATCTTAAACTTTTTATTCTCAAAAATTTATTTTACATAAAAATAAAATTACTTATTGTTCACATGTAAGAATTATGTTAACGAAATAAGAGTGAAATTATAAGCATGACGAACTACAAACCATAGCCACTGATACATATCTCTCGAATCAGTTTAACCGATGATGCAACATTTCGTATCGCTAAATGACTTCGCCAGATTGTCCACAATCGACGCCGCCAAGAAAATCATGACTCGATGAAATATTTATGGTCCATTTAAGGGAATCAATTTTATTTATTGATTTTCATCACTTTATTTTATGTTCCTACAAGTAAAACGTTCTGTTGATTACTTCTTGTAAATTCTGTAAATGGATAAAAAAATATGATATATCATTTTGATCAAAATTGAAATATTCATATATTATCATGTTAAAAATAATATTCTCTGATTATATTACAAATTAGGATGAAAAAAAAAATTAAAACAAATTGTTAAAATTTAAAATAGAAATAAAATGGATATCTTCGTCAAATAATCGTCAAATAAAATGTCAAATAATCGTCAAATAAAATGTCAAATAATTTAATCTTTTCACGCGGTTTTCTTCACTCCATTTCTCTTCAAAAATGCACAGTTCAAAGTTCATGGTATTTTACGCCCTACTTCCTTCGACGCACGTACCTTCAAACCGTAACGCAACCTAACCTCTCCCCTAGGTGAAACGCGACGAATTAGAATCTGCAACGGCAATGTTTTTTAAAGCGTCACACATAGCCAATGTAACAAATGGTCGAGTAAAGTTAACCTAGCGACGGTTCTTTCCAAGAAATTCCTTTTTCTACCCGACGCTCATGGAACACCTTAGCGAACCTCTTCCGGCCGCGGGAACGTTAAAGCTGGATTTTCCAGGTGAATTATTTACGTGTCTGGTTGTGAAAGCCACCTAGGTCTTCGTCCTTTTTGAACTTTCATCATCGCCACGATTTCAATCAGTCGATTTATTCTTTTTATTATTATCGATTTTCGTCGTCATATTGTCTCCTTGCAATATTCGATTATAATCGAGATTTTTTATCGAAGCTTTCATCGATCCCTTTATTTCTTCATTATACTTCTTCGATTGTTTTCGGCAGCATTCTCATTCTTCGTTATTATTGTCTCTGCTGTATTGTGAATGTTCTTTTGTTTTATTTTTCGAGTATATCTCGAAGAATTTTAATGTAAGTTTGATTCTTCAAATTCTGTTGTTAATTTTTTTTATAACAATTTTATTTTATTGCATTGTTTGAAAAATTCATAGCATTTTTTATGTATCGATGTATTATTTTATCAAAGTATGTATAATACTCGATTTCTAACCTATAATTTTTTTATCTCTTGAATGTTATTTGTTTTATAAGTGAATTTCTAATATTTAATTTGCAATAGATAATCTGTTGATACAAGAGTTTTTTAAATTTTATGTGAGAATTAAGTATATTTAGTGCCAATTGTTAGTGCCAGAGAAATAACCATTGTAAGGTTAACGGTAAAAGAAACTTCAAAATAGTACTAATTGGATTATATTGTTTTTTAGTATCTGCATAGTAAATCGCGATCATCCTAGATAGATAATAACGATGGATTTAATTCATCACAATCTTTAATCATTTAAATTTCTTTATATCTACTTTTTTAAAAGTACAAAGAGTAGTTCTATAAGCATTAAACTCTTTCGTATTTATTTTAGGTTAGAAATGGAATATGAATATTTTAAATCATCTATCAAAAAAAATATGAATATTGCAAATAATCGACATTTAAGTTTTTGTATATTTATTTATTTTTTTTAACTAAGATTTTTTTTTTTTAATGAGATCGTCGATCATGATCGTACGATCATGACGCCGTTCGTCGAGAGAAGTCCCTGTGTGTCGTTTCACGTCGCCCCGTGTGCCCTCCTTGCTAGGAAATAAGAAATTTTCTTGAGAGATGCGAGCCTCTGCGAGGGAGGAGGCCTAGCCAAGCGAACATAGTTAATTTAGATTGTATCGCGTGAGAAGCAGGAAATGACGAAATATCCTGAGTGCTGACTTATACGCGGCGCACATCGTGTATGCCTGGGCTCGTTCCTCGACCGCATTGCTCTTCGACTCCTCGACTCCTCGACTCCTCGCGACCTCAGCCCCTCCGACACGCAAGGATGATACTTTTTTTTCCTAACCTCCACGGTTAGCCGTTGCTGCATCTATTTTTATATTTTTCGCGATGTTTCCGCGCAAACGACAACGTGATCGTGAGAATTTTTGACCGGACCATTACTGCGAAATATCCTTATTTTTTTTATTCTTTTTTTTTTTTTTTTC